AGCTGAGGATACGAAATGCATATCACATGTGAAAGTCTTGTTTCTACTAATGCACAGAAAGTACCACAGAGAGGCCAGTGCAGAAGGGAAGGCTGTTTCTACTTGTCAGAATTCCTCTGCAGGTGTCCCTTGATGGGGAACACTTCACCTGTGAAGTTCGGTAAAAGGTACTTCTTGCACTTGAGATCCTCTCTCCCATAATGCCACCAGTTTAGCAAAGAACCCTCTTAACGTTGAGACTAATCCAGCAAGGAGCTTTGTGTTCACTTTTGCCTAACTTGCTGCTCTGGGTAAAATAAGCAGAGTTTCCTTAAACTGTAACATGTGAAGACAGACCAGTGTCAAACTGAGCTGCTTATAAATGAATCCAGGGCTTTTCAAAAAAATTTAATGTACTATTTTTATGAGGCATCTCTTTCACCACTACTTTGAGACTTGCCAGCCATAGACCAAATAAGATTTATAGCCTCATTCTTTGACTATAAAGAAGCCTTTTTAAGTGAAGAAAGTGAGGGAAGCCCATGGATGTTCCACTGCCCTCAAACAGAGGAACTTCAGGGCCTTCTCTGAAGTACACTCTTTTTGTATTATCTTAGTGGACAAGCATTTCTTTGTAAATGCTTGACATTGATGATGTTTTTTGTGAGACAGAAATAAAATATGAAGGAGATGCAGTAGCATCCTACTTCAATCTCTGAGGTTCCAGTGCTTTTGTGGTGATTTGTTTCTGGTTTCTTGGTTGGGTTTTTTTTATTATGTTTGTGGATAGAAAAAAGCCCCAATATGTGGCTCAGACTTCAGGCTGTTTTGAGAGTGTTCTTGTTTTGGTTTTTGGGGATGTGTGTTGGTGGTGTTGGTTTTTTTTTTTATCTTTCTTTCTTTCTGTGGTCTGTGGATGAAGCAATTCAATAGAGAATCAGGTTGAGGGAGATCTTTAGGCAGTGTAAATGTTTTCTGATGGAGACTCTAATGCTCTAAAGTCTCTGAGAGTGTTTGGTTTTTTTAATGACCTAAAAGCAGAAGACTGCATAATACTTAAACCATTTCCGAAAGCGTTGATATTCAAGAGTTCTTCTGGGAGTTTTTTGAACAACAATGAGGGAGCATGTAGGTGTGGCATAAACAGTGTGGATGTCTCAAGCTGTCCTTCCTGGACTTTGCTTGAAGTGAAGATGCGGAGGTGTGTCCCAAGGACAAGCATGTGGGGCAAGAGTAGCATTCTGAAAAATGCTGTGTGAGAGTAGGTTTTGTTACTTCTTCACTGTAATTCTTCACATTCTTTTAGCTGTTTTCAGCAATGTTTTCAGTAAAGATCTTTCTCACTTGCTGTTGCAACAAAAACAGTTATTACACTTTATTTGCATTCCTGATTGCTTGCTGGGTTTATCTTTTCTGGTTGGTGGAAGAAGTCTTCCTTTTCTTGTAGTCCATTGTATTTCCTAATCTGTCATCGAAAACAGTCCTCCTGAGAAGTCTGGGCCTCTGAAGTCCAGCTTTAGCAGTGGTGTTTTTTACTACTTGCAGGTCATTTCAGCTATATTGTAAGAATCTTAAAATGGATAAGAGGTGGGAAAATAGCAAAGCTGCATGAGTGAAAAATTTTGCTTCATTTATTATAAACAAGTTTTAAAAGTCCTTAGGGATTCAGAGGAAAATGCTGCACTGCTTTGTCATGAGGATGTCTTGAAAGTATTTGCTATGCAACTATGCAGCTGTGAAAATCTCCAGGCTTCTCTGGAATTCTATGGAGAGGTTTCCTATTTGTTCAGGTGGAATTCAGTGTAGATTTCACTGTTGGCCATTCACTTCTTCTGTAGGCAATTGCAGAAGAGAGATGCCGAACTAATGTATTGGCATGGTATTTATTAATGAGATTCTCTCTGGTCTTGAAACTTAAGAGTTTTGACTCCTGATATACCTCCAGTCTAAGAGTGTAATAACTTTGGGAAGGAACTATTTGTGAAATTTCACAGAGTAACATTTGCATGAAAAGCAGTATTGCATGTCTGAAGCCAGTTTCAGGACTATTTATTTTTTATTTTGTTTTGGTTTTTTATGCAAGTAAGAAGCTGTGGGTAAAAGAGTGAGTGGAGTGAAGGTTTATTTTGTGGTTAGCTGTGGGGGGTTTTTTATTAGTCAAATATTAAATAATGAGTTCTGGACTTGCTATATGGTTGACTATGTATGGTGGGGCCATTTGGGATTGGTCCATGTTTGTTTCTCCATTCTCTTTCAAATACAGGGGAAAATACAGCTATCTGGCAGTGCAGAATACTCTATGGCCTAATAATGCTGCTTCTGTACATGGAGGGAGATGGAGGGAAAAGTGCTGCATCCATTGGTACACAGATGCATTAAATATCCCAGCTTCTGTTTGCCTTGTGTCACTTATGTGTGGATTACAGACTTTAAACATATTGTCAGCACATAAGTTGACTTCTGCAAAATAGCAGGAGCCTGGCTGTGTGATGTGTTTGAAGTAGTGCAGTTCTTAATGCACATTTTAAAACTGTACAATCATGCCAGATGAAGGTAAATGATAACTGCAAACTGGCAATAAATGCCAGGGAAAAGGTTTTTGTTGTGAAAATATTTTTTTCCCTTCTGTTGAATTAAAACACAGGTACAGGTGACTCTTTGTTTTCAGGCTTGTATGGTACTATAATTTAAACAGCCCAAGTTGTCCAGAGTTGCAGTGAGGGAGGATAAGGAAACGGTTTCAGCTACTGTTTGTAAAATAATTAGTCTTCAAAGAGTAAATTGTGTAGGTATAAATTCTGTTGTATGCACCTGTCAGCTTCTCAAATTTAATTTTCCTGTAATGTTAAACAGTCTTTTTGAAGAATGAAAGTGGAATAAAACAACTTGATTAAATATCTAGTAATTTAAACTGTGTAGAACATGTGCACAGATTGACCCTGGTTTTCTTCTCTCACTTTGGTACAAAGCTGTGAGTGTAATAATGAAACTTTACATGGCAAAAGAAGAAAAAAGAAGAGAAAAAAATAAAGTTCTTTATATTGTTGTGGTTTGTCAGTCTGATTCTCCTTTATTTTAAATAGAATGATTCTTTCATAGGATTTGGTAGAACTTGACTTTGTTCTGAATTTTTTTCCTATTTTAAGAGGTCTGGATAAACTCAGACAAGCCAATTTGAAGCTCCAGCACTGGCAGGAATGTTTTGAGTGTGCAGGAATCTCAGACCTAGTCATTTGGCAGGGAAATGGAAACTGTCCACCCAGCTGGTGCCTCCAAGATGACGTACTGACTGCCTTGCTTCATGGCCAGATGCAAGGGAAGTTGATGGTTCACTCACCAGGACTTTAAGGACCAGTTTTGAATTGCCAATTAAAAATCCTGATTTTGATCTTTTGACTGACAGATTTTGGTTTTTCTCTGACCATCCCAACTCAGAGCATCTCTGCCATACTTTTTGTAATAGTAGCTTAATGGAGATAATGCATGGCTGGAAGCTGGGGCTCCAAGTGTTCCAGTCATCTTAAAAATTATTTGTGTTAAAACAAAAGTAGAATTTAAAGGAGAATAAAACTTTTCTTTAGAAAACTATAGGATTTTCTTAGTCTTTCAGAGTAAGTTACAGTGTAAGACTACATTAAGAACTTTAGTCAAAACGTTTTCTGTTTTAGTGACCTTTCAATTAATGTGCTACTCACCAGAATAACTTTGAGTGGATGCTATGATTTGTTTTTAAAATTTTACTTTACAGTAGTCGATTGCTTTGCTACTTTTCACCACTAGAGAACTTAGTAGAAGGTTCTTCTGACAAAATGTGGTCCCTTTTGCATGTTTTGGTTTTTCTTCCATTTTTTATATAGAAAAAGGGTTGGCCACTTCTGAAAGCCTGTCATCCTTTAAGCTGATAACAAGGGAACCTCTCAACTTCTCAAATGCTTTCTTTTTTTTTTTTTCCCAATGCTTTCAAGGAGTAAACTGGCAAGCGTTTAAGATATTAAGCTGATTTCACGCTTGCCATAAAACCCAAAAGCTGCTGTATATTCAGGAGAATGATGGAAGAGTGCTCAATGTTTCATCTTCATCTGTTCTTCCAAAATAAAATCCAAAAAGCTTAGGCCAAAATCCAGTTGTTTTTATTTTTAGTTCAATTAAAGTAATTTCACTTGCACATTGTAATAATATTTTTGAAGTGGTCATGCTGACATTGTGTCTGATTCTGCAACAAATCACCTCTTGCAATAAAGAAATACAGAGTACTGTTGGGAAATAGGACCCTGAGGGGGTCCTGGGAAATGTGTGTGTGTGTGTAGATAAATAGATTTGTTTGTATAAGAAGTTTTCTACCTCGAACGGTAAACAAGTTTCTCAAAGTTATGAAAAATGTAGTTACAATGAAAAACACTTATAATGTCCAAATGTGTAATTAATATCTCATGAGGGTAATAAAAATGAGAGCAAATTTCTCAGTTCTGATAGTTTTGCTGAGGCACTAGATCGAGCTGTACTTTGGTATTGCAGTCTGTCATGTCTTACCGTCACATTTTTAGCATAGCAGAGATCCAGCTGGCACAGCCTAATCTATAACAATGTGATTGGGATGCATGCTAATGTAATTAGCACAATCTCATGTGAAATATTCAGTAAATGTTACAAAGAGTCTGAAAGGATAATACCAAAAGCAGGGCACAATGAATTACTAATTACAAGGTGGCAGTAAACACCTCTGACTTCCACTGTTAGATACAGCTCCAGTTTCACCTGACTTGAGGGAAAACCTTTCTAGTTGTCAGCACAAGCAGAATAACAATGTATGTTCCATGTCTTACCATGCAGAGAAAGCTTAATTAAGTCATCAATAAATTAATCCATGTTGCCCAAAAGAAAAATGTCAGGATGCTATAAAAGTAGTTACAGAATATGCACACTGTTGTGCCTGCGAGAGTATGGTTGTCTCTTTTTCCAGGGGCTCATTCCCATGCGCTGTTTATCTTGGCAAGTGAATCACATAATTAGGAAGTGTTCTTGTTTGCCCTCGGGATGAATGGTGCTCATTACTCAGAAGTGTTGATCGTGTTCTTGAGAAGGTGGCCACTGGCTCCAGTGTTACGCATACATCGTGAGCTGCAGCCACTGAAAGAAGAGTTAAAGGATGGAAGACTCGTTGGTATCCTCCAAAAAATTGTATTGAGACACCACCCTCTTCTAGCTGGAAGGCGGCCGCTTGCTGTCACTTAGTGGCAGTGGAGAATTTTTTCTTGAGTCTCTTGCTCGTATTTCTCCTTTTGCAAAAAGTGAAGGGTTTTTTAATGGTCTCTGTAGCAGAGAACATGCTTTTATTTTGAAACTTTCTAATTCCTCTTAATGAGATTTTTGAAAGGTAAAGAACTATGTTAAACTCCATTATCATTTAATGCCATATCACTGTATTTGATCTAAATTGCCTCATAAAAAAAAATCTCAAAAGTTTTTTGAAGGATCTGCAGCTGTAACTTTGAGCACCAACTGGGGTCTTACATGGCAGCTGTTGCTGGCAGATCACAGATGTTTTCTGTGTAAAATTGGTAGCAAAATTTTTAGGAGGTTTTGCGGCCTCTTATCAGTTGGATGACCATTCAGACAAACTCTCTTGAGAGCGTGTACAATGAATAATAAAATTAAAATTCAGTATTGTGACATAGTGTTAAAAATACTGGCACAAAGCAGTTTACCTCCAGAACATTGAGCTTAATGATGCCGTCTCCATCTTTATCAAAGGCGTGGAATGCCCCTAAAACAATGAAACAAAAATATATGGAGTAAATTAAATTACTGTGCATGCAAAGATGATTCCCAGATAGCAAACTAAATGGTGCTCCTGTTGTGATATGCAGACTTGCGCAGGTTTTTACTTATATGGTCAGCAAGTGTTCCTGCTGTGTTTTCCCTTAGCTCATTAAAGGAGAAACGCAGTGTTTCTTTTATGCTTGTATGAGACAGCTGTAATATTTTCGTTTCCCTAAGCACACATCTTTAATAATACCCTGCACAGGCAGTAGTGCTTTGAAGAGCTTTGCTGAGAGTATGATGGGGCCCTGAGCAGCCTGGTCTAGTGCAAGGTGTCCCTGCCCACAGCAGGGATATTGGGACAAGATCGTCTTTAAGGTCCTTTTCAACCCAAGCCATTGTATGAACCCATGATTCTGTGACTGTGTCTGGGGGGAAGAGGGGAGATGGTGCAGTAGAACAGGGGCAGCCACTCACTGAACATGGCGTCCAGGCGCACGAAGCAGCAGATGAAGCTGTCAAAGTCAATGTTCATGTTCTTGTCTGCGTAGCGCATGGTGATGATGTCGTAGAGCTGGTTGTTCAGCCGAAACCCTGCAGAGGAGCAAAAACAGGGCACAGCTGGACCATGGCTGGGGGAAGTGCTGGTCCAGGAGTGGTTTGGCCATAGGTGCTTCCCAGGCCCAGCTGAGGCTCAGGCTGGATGGTCCTGCTGCAGCTGCTAAACAAAATGAAGTTAAGCTAAAAGGAGCTTCACTGTGTCCAGCTGCTTTCTTAAAACGAGAGTAACATTTTGAAATTATGATTTGAGAGGGCCAGTAGCGTGTGAGTTACCTCAGGCTGTAAGTATGAAAAGGAGAGCAGCAGACACCAAAGAGTGTGGTACTCAGCTGGGCCTGGTGAGAACAAATCAACAAAAACTGGGCGACAGAAGCACAGGAGGAAGTTTCTATGAAAACACAATTACACAATGGTAAAAAAATAGACAAGGAGGCAACCCCTTGGTGTGGTGTGCTGAATTGTGGCACTGAATGCTGCAGCATGCGACCATGCCTCAGAAGGGTCTGTCACAATTTGGGTACAGCTGTTTGTTGGCTAAATGCAAGGTCATGCATGGCCTATGTGCTGTAAGATCCGAAATGGTTACTGTAAAATGTCATCTTAGTTCTAAAGTTAAGGTGTGAGGTATTTAAATATTTTCTCTTTTTACACTGACAATTTTCCTGGTAAACGGTAACGGAAACCTGGAAAATAAAAATTACCCATATTTCTATTGCAGGAATCCAAATCCAGATATAGTTTTGTCTTTAGCACAGGATCAATCACTGGTGTTTTGTAAAGTACAAGGTAGCCATCTGTTTCTCTTCCTTGATGTGCCAAAATACTATTGAAGACAAAGTGTCACTGACATCATCCCATCTAGGTTTATAATGATACTACAGATTTTCGGATTAAAGAGATCATCTTGCTGCCTTAGAGAGATAGTAAAGATATTTGCAGAAGGAGGTGAGCTCTCCAGGGGAAGAAGCACACCAGTGTGTCTAAGACAAGCAAGAAAAGTCAAGTCTCTCTTTACAGGATGAATTTCACTAACTGCAAGTTTTGCAAAAATACTTTCTTCTCATTGTGCAGGTAGAAGATACTGAACCCACAGTGGCTCAGTACCTAAGAAACATTAACATGACTCAAGAAACATTCATCTGATTGCCTCTGATGCAAACTTGGGCACCGATCTGCTCCATCTGGGTTTCTGTACTGTACTGTACTGTACTGCCTGTACAGTTGGGTTGAAGGTTTTCCACTGTTCTCTGTTTGTTCCTTACACAAATATAAAGAATCCACAGCTTAAATAAGAGAAAATGTCTTCAGCACTCCCTCGTCTCCCTGAACAGCAGGACCCCGAGTAGGAGATCCTTAAAAAAGCAGAGCATCACTCATGGGAAATTTAAAGAGAAGCTGAAGAGACCTATTTGGCTGTCAAGACATACAAGGCTTGCCATTTGGATATTTGAAAAGCTCTGCTGGTGCAAAAAAATATTTTATAATTTCTCTAGGGTCTGTCTTTGCAAGGCAGCACTGTGTTTCCGATCTCACCCTGTGATACATCAAACAAAATAAGGTTTTGGACACTGTGCATTGAGAAATACCTGCATCATTGACTGCATTGCGCATCTCATAGCTGTTAATGGTTCCTGAATGATCTGTGTCATAACGCTTGAAAATTTTCTGGAAAAAGAAAAAAATAAATACATAGTAGTAATAAAAACTTCTCTTGCATGTAGCCAGTGAGTGGATATAGGATGTGTGCCTCAGGCACTTGGAGGCTTTGCCATATGCCTTATATTCCTGCTACTGGGCAGTCTGGATTGTTAGCACAGAGCTCCTCTCAGTCACAAAGTAAAATAATTTAGATCCAATTTTTGGGAAGCAAAAAGCCTCCCCTGGAGACTCTCCTTGTTTGACTTGAGTTTATGCTGTTAATCCTTCCTCTTGATTGTCCTAATTAAGCTATTTTTGAGCCCTGATTCTAGTTCCCATCATTCTCCTTCTTCAGCTGGTAAGCCTCTGTGCTATTCCTATGGGGAAAGTCTCTCCTCAAGTGCAGGAGCTTCAGAAATTCAGGCTATTTGCTTAGGCTGTGAAGTAGGATGAAGAGGGACATTACTTTTCATTTTAGAAGCTAATTCCCAATATTTTTTTAGCCTTTCTTTTTGCTGTAGTGTATGTACAAAGTTCTGGTTTTCCTACACGACTTTTACACTGCAGAAGCTGTGAAGAAGAGTGATGTGAATACCAGCAATACCTGCCAGCTTTTAATCTTGTCCCAGAGATGTCGAAATTCATCAAAGTTTATCTTCCCTGAGCCATCTGTCTGTGATGCAAATATTCAGGTAAAAAAACCACAACATTTTTAAGATAAAATTAATTAAGCCTGCAACTACAGGTGAAGGGATGAATGTGAAACTGAGTTTAATATCTCCTCAGCATTAAAAGCTGGCTGAGCTGTGAAGTAAAATATTTTTAAACATTTTGGTTATTGTGTATGGCATATTGTTTCAGGAGCGTGAAGTACTGCTTGTACTTTGTGTAGAAGCAAACTTCTGGCACAGGAGACAGCCTTGCTCCTGAAGCTGTTATAAAAGTGCATGAGTAGGATGTTTTAGTGGGCTCTTCTGAAATGCCTCCAAATGTGAAGCTCACCCAATATTTTTTAAGACAACTGATCTTTACCCTGAAGTGAAGCTCTTTTTGCCTTGCTCTAAAATTAATTGAGGACTAAGCAAAATGTTGACTAAAGCTATTTACAAAAATGTGTTTAGGCTCCAATCATTATGGCTCTGGCTTGCAGTTACAGTTTTGTTCTGGTTATGTTTGAATGCACCTATGTCCTCTCAAAATCATGTGTTATGTCAAACTGGGAAACGGAGTGATGTTATAGCAGAAGTAACCCCATGTGGCATGTTGTAGTGTGTTTTATTACGCTCATTCCAAGACAATTTCTGTAGGCCCTGCATGCTGAGCATGCAGTAGAATATGTAATACATTATAAACTCAAGGAGAGAAATATAGTAAGTTTGTTGGCAAGAACTATAGTTATGTTGGGTTTGTTTAAAAAAAAAAAAATCATGCTTTAGTACATAAGCTGGCCAGTCCCTGATACCTAAGGAAGAATATCATACCGACTGATTTATTCTGTAGTTTTCTGTTTTGGGATATATTTCTCTGCCAACTACATTAATGTTGAGATGACTGGAATTAAAATGTAACCAAACTAAGAATGCTGTGTTATCTGACTAGAGTCTACAATGTGCTGTTTTGCTTCCCTGGCTTACTAAGTTGTATGTGTGTGTGCGTTGGTGAGAAATAGTGGACTAGTCTGGTTTCAAGCACTCCTTTTTCACCAGAAAAGGATACATCCATTAAAGCAATCATGCTGCGGCAGGATTCCAATTCAAATCCTTCTGACCTTAGGTCCTTATCTGAAATAAACGATCCCAGATGAATACAGATAATGCAAATCAGCAAGTGATTTTTCCTCTCAGGTGCAACTCTAATCAAAGCAAAAGCCAAACCTACTTCCTTCATCCAGTAAGAACTGAGTGTAGAGAACTGTGAAAAGACTCTAAGTAATGTTACTGCCTGTGAATTACAGATATATTTCTTGACTTGTTATATACAGTAAAAATCTCTGGAAAACTCTAAACTCACTTCCAGGTTACTAAGCAAGTTCAGGGTCTGTAAGGTAAAGTTTGCTAAGCAGGGAGAAAGGTCTGTCTCTCTATTAGAAATTTTTTTAAAGGGAATTTGCAGACTGCTAGAAATGCTGTATTGTTCTGTGTGGTACTTCCAATGAACATTTGCTCATTTCTGAATTATCAGTACTTGATCATCTGTAGAGATCACCTCTGTGAAAAGTTCAGCTTGCTAAAGTCTTGGATGCAATGTCCATGGAAATGTAACTAGGAAATTTCTGAGTTTGAAAACATAAATAATTTTTAGAGTGAAACTCAGAGGCGGGGGGTTATGCTATATCACAGATTTTTTTTTGTTGAGGGTTAGTAAAAAATATGCTCAAACTCACGTTTTTTTACGACGTTGTTGAGAACGTTCCTAAGTTCTTCAGCATTGATCTCCATGTCCTGATGGAAATGTGGTGAGAATATAATTGATTACAATGTTCTTTACTTATCAGATAATTTTATGGATAAGACTTGGTCACTTTTCAGTATGGCACATACATGTTTCAAACTAGAGAGCGTTCTAGTTCATAGAAACATTAGTCCGAATCTTTCTTGAGGGTGCAGTATAAGGTAGGTCTGAAGTTACCATATAATGCTTATTAAACTACAACTAGAAGAATGACCAGTAATTTCAGTATAAGACAAATAGCAAAATCTGAAAATCTTTGTATCCCATTTGCAGCCTATTGTTTTATGCAGTTCTTTCATCTGTTTTTACCTTTAACTTTCCTTGTTAAGCGTATACTGGAGGGCATTGCATTTCTAACTTGTTTATACTTGCTGTGCAAAATAGCACCTTGTAGTAGGGATAGAAGAAAAAGGCTGAATTTAAATGAGGCTCCCTCATACACAATGGGAATAGCTTATACCTACATCTGAGGATAGCTGTATGCTTAAGGGGTTTTTAATTTGATTTTACTTATCCTCAAATCTCGAAGACAATTCCGTGGAAGGAAATTCAAAGCAACTTTTAATATTCAGTGTTTTGAATCCATGAAACAATTGATTTAGGTGCTGTTGTGGCTAGGCTGCTTTGATGGCAGACAGGGATCCATTACATACTCACATCCCCTGCAATCTGTCGGAAAATATTCCTGAACTGTATTTGCTCTTCACTCTCCTCACGACCTTTTGCTGAAGAACGCTGAAAAAAGACAAGCAGAGATACATCCTTAGCCCTGTGGGGGAGAGAAAGGGCCTGGATGGCTCATTTGCCCTCTCACAGGGCATCATCTTAGTGAATCTGGAGCCCTTTGGAGGAATGGGTTGTCCTCCTGTTCCTTTCCCCATTTTTTGGTTAATTCTGTTACTTAAAACTATCAAGTACTTAACTTCATCCCATTGTTCTTTTCTATTTGAAGGAGCCTAAATGATTACTTTCACTGGCAGTTATCCTCTAATTTTTTGTTTCAAAACATTGCAAATGAGAAGTTTGGAGCAGAAGAGGCATATCGTAGAATCACAGAATGGTTTGGGTTGGAAGGGACCTTAAAGATTATCTAGTTCAAACCCCTCTGCCATGGGCAGGGACACAATATCTGCCTCATAGCCACCTGGTAGGCTATAAACAATCAGATGAGAGCTCTCCATAGTGTGGGGGGCCTGTTGCTGGAAGCATATAGCATGTGAGGCAGAAGAAAACAATGAACATGAAGCTTTCTCAGACACGTGCAAAGGGCAAGCCGGAACTCTGAAGCTGATACTGAAAAAGGAAACTAGGAAATTATATGTCACAAAGTTAATTTCTTGCCTTAGTTCTTGTTTTTGTTTGTCTAAATGCAGAGGGAAATTTAGATTGGTTCCCACTTGGCCACCTGTGTGCTCTGGCAGTCATGCAGCAGAACAGCACCCTTCCTGTAAGCAGATGTTCCAGCCATGCCTCCAGACGCCACAAGCCTGAATGTGGAATCTGGCTGTCACATTTCTTGTCACTCACCCGCCTGCAGGCAGAAACTCTGAATTTGCTACTCTGCTTTCCTCCTCTCTGGTAGGGAGGGAAAAGAGGAGGCATTCAGGAGCTCCTGGGTTTACTCATCCTTTATCCTCTGGCCAACCGGGACTAGTGTAGGGGGGTGTAGTTTGTAATGGGGAGGGGCTGTGATCATTGCCGGGATCTTCTGAAGCCCTTTGGGTGCATTTATGTGTATGTCCTGTGTAAAGCAGGTACTGCAACAGGGGGCTGAGCAGGAGTGAACTAAACTTCACTGCTCATCGGGAGGGATCTCTCACAGCTGGGATCCTTGTATGATGCAATCATGAGAGAAACCAGATGTTTTTAAGCAACTGAATCCTCCTGCAGAGGTGTTAAATAACTGAAGAGATAGTCTCTGTCTGCTGATTCTGATTAGATCCATGTAAACCAGATAAAAGTTATCCTAAGATTTGATGAAAAGCTGTTTAGTATCTTAGGACACCTCTTTGACCCATTTCTGTGCTCTCCCCAGCCACTCTTTCATGCTAGCCAGACTAAGCCCTATTTCCCCCTTTGCTTTATGCTGCAGAAACCTTTTTCTCATCTGTTTGGTTTTTTTCACCATCTTTGCCAGCATCTTCATCTGCTGTCAGCTCTTTATTGCTGTTCGCTCTGTCAGAAACAAAGATGATAGGCTAGAAGAAGAAAGAAAGCAAAAGAGAAATAGAAATTACACAGGAAGTAGTGGAAGGGAAAATATTTGGTGACAACCATTCTGTGATAAAGTGCATGCAGCAAGAGCACCCACTCCTGAGAGCATGGTCAGAGAAGCCAGGTCTCAGAATGAAAGAAAAGAAAGAAAGAAAGAAAAAAAGAAAAAAAGGTGGAGGAATCTCTGAAGTTACTGCTCTCCTTGTGCTAAAAATAGCTGCAAAAGTCTTTTTGCCAAATAGTGCAATTTCTGGCTTCTAACTTTTCTTTTCAGAAAGCCAGTAACCATTTGAATGTATTTGGATTTTGTGGGGTTGGTTTGTTTGTTTGTTTTTCAGTTGACACGGATTTCAGGTTTTTTTCTGTTTTTAAGCAAAATAAGCTTCCCAGATTCTCATCAGTTAAACTGATGAGCTTGCCCATCTCTTTGAAGGACAGTAATACTGAAAACAAACACAATGTGAATCTTACACAGAAAAGGGGTATTTGTGTAGGAGCTTGTTAGTTATGTGAAGCATGTTTTTTCTCTTGCATGTATTGATTCTTAAAGCACTCAGCTGTAAGCAGCCACCTATATTTGTCCTGGTTTAGTGCACTTAAAACAAGGAAAACTGCTAAAAGATGTGAATGTAGAGTACTCTAGAGTGTTAATTACAATCAACCTGTCGAGATTAAAATGTCTGATTACATTTTCAAGGTCCTAAATGTGTTGTGTAGAATCAAAAATAGAATCCTGGGCTTTGGTGAGCAGAAACTTCAGGAAAAGGGAGTAGCTGCATTAGGCAGTAGAAAGCAAATGTGAGGGCACATGTCTGAAGAAGGGGTGCTTTTCACTAGCAAGGGGTTTCAGAGTGCCTGTGAAGAGGAAGGAAGGAAAGGCAGTTCGAGCAACCCAGCGGATCAGGTTGATAAAGCTGAAAAGTTTCTGTTACCCTTTTACCACCTCTTTGAATGAGAGGGGTATATGATGCTAATGCTATTTCATTAGAATCCGATGTAGGAAGACAAAATCTTTGCTGCAGGCAAATGGCCTCATATCCAGTGCCCTTCATTAACTAGATCAGGTTCCAGATGCAGAGAAATGATGATACCAAGGAACTCTGCTCCTGCTGCATGCATTGAGTGTGCTCTTTGCCTTGCTGGGACTTAGCGCATTGTACAAGTACTTACCTTGCCCTTTTTCTTCTGTATGAAAAGAGACAAAATTAAAAAGGGTTTGATCAGATTATGCAGAGCTGATGGCAAAGCTGTATTTTTTTTATCTTTCCCTTTCTCATATTAATCTTTCCCATTCCTATATTCATACAAATTTTACCATTTCCTATGTTCACACAGCTTTCAAATCACCAAAAATGAGGGAACAGGCACTCACCAAGGAATGGCATACTGAAGGACAGACATTGCAAAAACCATGTCCCATCTCATCTGGGGCTTTGTCCACTTGAATAAAATCTCTACTCTACCTTGAACCTGTCAGTGCAGTGGAGATTGAATTTCTGTGCCCGTAGATCAGTGATATCTGAAGTGGCAATTAAATTTTGGTCTGACCAAATCAGAAAATAGTGTATACAAAGCAAGTGTCAATAAAAGTATCTTGATGTGAAAAAACATGGGAATTTGTGATAAAGGAGCTGTCATGTGGCTGCAAATGGTTTCCTGCTGTAGGTTTCCCTAGATGTGATGCTCCTCCTTTCCCTACCCCTATTCATACACAAAAGAGGACCAGGACAGTACTTACCAATGGACGCTCCGCCTCAATCATGTTTTCAACCTCCCTAGTAGAAAGCAGAAAGTAAATAAATCAGGAAAGTGACTGTTCCCAATGTTGCTGGTTTTTGTAGGTGGTTTGTAAGCAACCACTTGAACTTTCTGAACAGCCAGTGGTGTGGGCTGGCTTCAAGCATTACAGCTCCAGGCTCTAGGTGTAGTTTTTTCCCAGTTTAAGCTGAACATCCCAAGTACCATTTCCAGGAGGGCTGCTGCCTGATTTACTCCTGTAAAGAGCCTTGATTACAGTGAACTGGAAGTAAAACAGAAGTTTTTTGGTCTTAGTAAATCGCTAACGGTTTGTTTACAAAGGACATCCTGCAAGTAGTAAGCTTCTCCAAAGACAATTCAAAGCAGGTTCTTGTTAGACTATAGGGGAAGCTTGGGGAAATGAGTCTGCAGCTTGCAGTTTCTAATGAGGTTAAGAATATAAAAAGCAGGGTGCAGCAAACTGGTAACATGACTTTAGCAAACTAGCGAGCTGACCTCCGCCTACATGACCAGATAAATGGATCTGCAACTTACTCTGAAAGACTTCTTTTCTCTGAGAAGACCCTCAGGATAAATTCTCCCTCCTGGTGGGGTTCGTATGTAGATGGGATGATGACGTACTCACTGGGAGGTAACCGGAAGCGCTCAGAGATTTCTCGCATATTTATGTATGTCTTACTCCTTGCTTTGGAGGCATTGTAGAGGAAAAAATCCTTCTGCAGGTGGTGCTTAGTACCATGCATCTGCAGAACAAATGAGTCAATTTGTCTTCAAGGAAGCCTTGCCCATTCCCCAGATGGCTTGCCATGTGGGCAGTACATGGCTGACAGGAAACAAAGGAAGCAGCAGCTTATCAAGCAGGGAGCTGATGAGTGGTGATACCTGGAGGCAAATACCAAGTCTATCACCTAAAAGTTGCTACTGACTGAGTCAAGTTGGCTTCTGAGGGCTACTCCACGGCCCACCTGCAGAGTGTGTGGCTGACTTCTGCTGTGTAGGCATTTTTATTTGACTGTTTTGTTGGATGCTGAGTTGTGTGTAACTAAAGTTCAGCTACTTTCCTTGGAGGGTGGTATGGCAAGGAATGGTGTATGCAAACTTTTATATGCAGAGTGGTGAAGTGAAGGTGCTTTCTACTGGAAGCATGTCCTTGTCTGGACGAAACACGAATTCTGTATCTGCTAAATGAACATGACAATCAAACATGGCATTGGTTCAAATACGAAAATTAAGTTCAAGAATTGTGGGCTAAGAACACTTGCAGGATATTTTCTGCAGATATAATCATCTGTAAGATAGTCAGTAAAGAAAACATTCAGACTGTCATTTTAATGTTTTCCAGGTAACAGAGCCTTCAGTTGAGCTTGTTAGCAAAACTTGTAATGCCAATTATTCAGCTACTGTCAGGCTCATAAAAAATGTAGTCTGTGTACTTTTGATAAGTTTTCTTCAATGGCTGAAAATACCATTACTTTTCTAAAGAAATTCTACGACTATAGAGAAAACATTGTGACTGCAGAATATAGGATATTGGCTTTATTTTTAAGAGGAAATGGAAATGGTTTAGGGTGGTTCTGCATGAAGTGCAGAGGCAAAGTGCTCGCTGGCACTGCTTCCTGCAGCCCAGGCTCACTGACTGACTGTGCAAGCAATGGCCAGGTCTCTACAGAGTAGAAAAGGAGGACTGAGGAAGAGGTGCAAGTGAAAATGGGGTGCAAGTGAGAAAGAACTAAAAATTACTCTCAAAATGTTACTGATAAACACTCAAAGCAGAAAGGTTAGCAGTTTCACTGCTGTTATATCCCTGAAAACGAACTTGACTGGGCAGTCTTCTGCTGACTTACAGATAGGCACTACAGTAACACTAGCTGTGAATATACACCAAGGTGTCAATCTGTCTCCGTTCTGCACATACCTCTTTGGGTACCTTAGGGAGAAACAAAGAAAAGAAACAGTCAGAGCTGGTGGGTGAGTACTCTTGTTTATAGATCATACAGAAGGGCATTCACATAGATTTCTGGGGACATAGACAGTAATCAAAATGCCCCTAGTTAGATAAGAAATTTCCCACTTCCATTTTAGGTTTCTTGGAGTCTACATGAGATCAGTTAAGATCTGAACTAAATATGTTTGTGCAAGGGACAAACCGACTTTTTTGTCAGGTCAATAGTAGGGACAGGTTAATTGCTATGTATGCATCTTGGATATCTGTTTCCTTTTTTGCACTCTTCTGCCAAAAAAATGTTTAGTTTCAGAAAGGACAAAAGGAAGATTGAAGAATATATGGGAAAGGATATGTTAACATCTGGCATTAGGTCACTGTAAGAGCCTATAAAGTATGTTACTTAATAGATGGGGTAAACCCTGAGGTTACTATGGTACAAACAGTTACAAAGACTTGAATTTCCTTCCTTACTTCCAGGTTTTCCCTGACTTCCTTGCAAAGCAAAAATTGCAATTCTTGTAATCGGCCCGAATGATTCAGTGACTCTGTTGGTAAATGCATACTGTCAGAATTTGTGACCACAGTGCAACCAACAGAGCTGGTACCTCATAGATGGCAAAGCCAATGGTATATAGGGTGGCTCCCAGCTTGCGCTCTTTCCTCCTGTTTTTCTGCATCAGTGCGACAAGGAAGCTGCAGATAACCTCTTCATCCTCAGGATCATCATCTTCCTCCAGGAGCTTCAAGCGATACTGGGGATTGGTCCAAAATGTATCTGTGAAATCCCACCAACAACCCAAAGAAAATAAGTAAAGCTTCAGTTTTCTAATGATACTCACAATCAAATAGAACTTTTAAGTTTCCTGCCTGTGGCTCCTGAGGCAAAGGTTAAAAATGGGCTAAAACATGGATGGTTTTTTTTACATGTTATGGCTTTTACTTAATTCTAACAAAACTGCAAAACAAAGGAGGATATATGAAGAACTGTCATCTGATAAACTTCCAAAGCCCCTAAAATTATCACTAATCCACTACAGTGGATTTCCCAAGTGAAATCTGTTAGAGTAAAATTTATCTCTTTTACTTGGGGCACTGTGAAGTGTTGGAACAATAATTTATCTTCGTCAGGGTTGCCTTTTGGGCTCTTAGGATGTTCTGTCGCAACATAGTGACTGAAGATTTCCAGTTTACAGTTGCATGCCTTGTCCACTGAGGAAGCAAGGCTTTTCCTGTGGCTGACCACTGATCAGGCTGTGATATGACTTAGCCTTTAGGATCTAACGTAGTCCTCATCAAAGAGGCCATATGTCTCAAAACCCTTTTCTCACCTGGATAATTGCGGCAACCTCCAGCTGAGCAGCCTCTCACCCAGCGCCCTTCATTGACGGATACAGTCCAGGTTTGGAATTTATCCACTTCCAGGGTGTCTGGTGTGAGGTTACAGATCTCAAGCTTTGTGAAGTGCCTCATGAAATCTTGAAATGGCATCCTGTAGGAATTGAGGGGAAATTGAACCCAAATGGATTTACATGGTGGGCAGTTGTCCGAAAGACCCACCCTGGAGGAGGGTGACCAACAGTACTGTCAGTATTCAAACAAGTTTGCAGTGGGAGTGCCATGTTTTCCAAATGCTTTTGGTCTGCTGGTAGGTCAATTAACACAGGTATAGCTCCAAACTCAGGGAAACTGAGCTGAGAGGATGATATTTGGGAAGGGTGATAGAGGGTTTGTGGAAGTGTAGCATAATTACACTGTGTTGGTTGCATTGAATAATCTCTGGTGAGAAAATGAGGGAAGCACAGAGCAGGGCTTATTGGAAATATGAAGGGGATCACTGCAATGGTTTAGCAGATTTGTAGTACTGCAATGTGATTCATTTCTCCTAGAGAAGCACAGGTTTTTGACTGATATTCTCACCAGAACTCCCCATCCTCCATGACCTTGTGCTGCAAGCGGATCTTCTCTGCTTCGTTAACGGAGTTCCACTCCTCTGACCTTCAAAGGAGTAAACAAGTTAAGTTGTGATTTGCAATACAGCTTTCATTAAAATTTCTACACTTTACTGTAAACATCATAGAGGGGAAAGGCAAGAGTCACCTTGCTACATCCATATAGACTTTTAATTTGTGAGCTTTGCAATCATTTGTTCTCAATGCAACCCTCCTCTTGTGCCCTAATAAAAAGAACAATTGTCCTATTTCTCTCTGCCTTCTCTTCAGACTTCCCCTTAACAGTTCTCAAATTATCTGCTGAACTGTGTTAATTTTATTTAGCTTGTATAGCTTGTAGGAAAAGGTGTTTCCAGACTACCATTACTGAGGTAGCTATTGAAATTCCTTTAGTAAAACACACTGACACCTTGCTTCATTCAGTTCTTTCATAACTTGAAAGATTTTTCTACTGTCACATCTTCTTTTGAAAATGGACATTACTGAACTTGATAGACAGTAAAATCAGATTTAATGTGTCATTATACTGGGCTCTCTCTTCATTTCCATTTCTTAAAGCCCCTCTTAACACCTTGTTTAGGCACCCTTTTTTTTTCAGCTTCAGCTAAGCACTCAACTACTCAACTAAAATCGACTTCCAAGTGCATGTGTCAAATGACAACAAAAAAAATTCAGACACCTCATCATTGAATGTTAGGGTCATGCACAAGCTGCATAAGGGCAAATAAAGCTGCAATTTTTTTTTCAAACCACATGAAGCTCCTTTTTACTCACTTGTCACTCCAAGGTCCGTTCCATTCCACCTGTCCCCAGGGGTTTCTCAGCCGTACCAGACGTAATTTTTCCCCTTTAAATACTGTCTATTTGAAAAAGAATGCAACAAGAATAGACTGACAGGTTCAAAAGAAATATTGTGCCTTTCAAATTGCCTACACCAGCTTCTCTAGTGATGGTGCTTTCCAGGGCTATAGCCCAGCCTGACCTGCTTGGGGTGAGTGCAGGAAGACTGTAAGATCAGGAGGTGGCTGGCTGTGACCACCTTTGCCCAAGCGGTGGAATATCCATTTCCACAGAAAGCAAAGACTTAGATAGGTTTGTTTCTCCACAAGGCATTCACTTATTTGAATATAAATTTTGTTTCCTTCTCTCATAATTTGTTTTGCTTTTTACCCCTCTCATAGCTTAGCTGACATGCACAGTGCTAGACCAGTGTAGATTGCAGCTCCCCACAGCTGGAGGAAAGGGACTGTACATACCTCTTCCACAGCTGTCACAGAGTAGGCATGACCTTTGACGAGCCCGCAAGACATCCGGGTTTCATACTGCATTGGCACTATGGTCTGTTAGACACAAGATAAAAACTTGTGGGAGTCATGCAAAGCTCAGTTGGCTGCTCTCAGGCAGATATTGCCACCCAGGGCTTTTGGAGGGAGGATGACACTGTTCAGGTGACAGGACTTTTTGCCTTGTTCTCCTCTCTGTGTTTGTCAGGGTGGTCAAGCTTAGTGCCCATAGAATTCATGTTGTTGGTTAGAAAGGAATGAAGCATGAACTAAGAATGGAAGAAGTTAATATTGATTTGAAAGGACATTTTAGGGCTTATTTCCCTTTTCTGTAGACTATTGCTTTTTGCACTCAGAACATGGTAGTATATAGCATGCTTAATCAAAGTAATTAGATTTTCCTATTAGTAGGACTATTCAACCTTTTCTAGGATAGTATGTTCTTGTATAGCTCAGTAAGGTTATTACATATGAACTGGAAACATCAGAGCAAATCAACATCTAGAATACTTTCATCTTTACACGTGGCTATCTTATCACAATGGCATTTAAACACCCTATTTAATACACTATTGCTACTAACTGACACTATGTTTTTACTTAATTTCCTGTGGAAGTGGACATTTTATTCCATAATTTTTAAAATCCTCATGATTGAATTTTTTTCCATCTGACATTCAGGAAGGGCATAGCAATGTGTTGCTCAGGTGTAAATACATTTGTTGTCTTAGTAATCAACTTTTAGTGTGTCTGATAGATTTTTACTTGCAAATCTCAGAATGCTGGTTATCTGGGAGATAAAGAATTGAGAGCAAGATGGCAGATGCACACAGGTTGCTGTACTTGTAGGAGAGATCACTGGCATCAGTTGGAGGGGAAGGCCCTACTACACACACGTGGACCATGTGCAAAACATCCCCTCCTCTGTTATGTCTGTTGCTGGGACATGATTGCAAGGCCCTGCCAGTAACTCTGCCACCTCTTCTTTACATATCTGATGGCATGAAAAAGGCAGGGCTGGAAACAGAGGAAGAATTAGTAAGGTCACACAGATACATTCTCAGCTTGCACAGGGAGGATCTCATCCAAATATTTCCTGGCTGTTGCAATTATTTTCCATTATTTCACTTCTACTCCTGGTTTTTGCTTTCCCTTGATCCTATTTTCATACTTTTTATGCCTATAGCCTCAATTCTATTTCCTTTTTTCTTAATTTCTACTCATGTTGTTGCCATCATTACTTGTCAGAACCCCTTTCTCTTCTTTCTGTTTGAGAACATTAGCTTCTGATGTCCTGGATCACTTCTCAAAGAGCAGGCTTTATCTGCCTTTTTCCATCAATAATCATGATTCTTTTTCTGGTGGTGGTTTGGGAATATGTAATAACCAGCAGCACAACAGCTTCTGGGGCGGTAAATATAGAAAGAGTTTTGCAATCTTCTTTCAGTAGGCAGTCACTGGGGAGGAAGTTCTCCCCCCAGACAAGGGTGGTTTGGACAGCCATGCTTGCAAAACAAGACAGTTGTACTGGGCTTTCCTGAAGAATTGCAGCATTTCAGTTTTTTAGGAAGAACTAAATATGAATGTGAAAAGAGGAAAAATCAGCTGTTTCAGCTGTAAATGCAGAAGAAAGTTTGCACAACCAAAAATTTTAGGTGATGTAATTGTGGAGGATTTTTGTTTGATTTCCACCCCTCCCCCTCCAAGCAAGAGATGTAATTTCATTGTCATGGAAATGCAGCTCCCTAAAGGGCACAGTATGATAGAGAAGAAGGCATCGTGTCCCTCTACAGACTTGAAAGCTTTTAAGTTGCCTGATATGGGATTTTTCTTAAATGGTTTTAACATCCCCCTCTTTATTTTGCAAGATACTTAGGTATGCTGGAGTTACTTTGTATTCCATCGCACATATAAAACTGAACATGTTTTTTGTCTTCCTTGTTGGGCATTTTAAATGAGGACTTTAATGGCAATAACCTAAAAGGAGCATCCCTAGAGCATTCTCCTGCATTTGTGGGCAGAGCACTCAAAATAAATTCACCAAGGGCTTTTGTGCCTGGAATGAGAGCTGTGCAGAGCTTTCTTTTGGTCTCTTTCACATTCCATGCACACTCGAAGATCTTGTTCTGTCTTTCACATTCTACACACACTCAGGGATCTTGTTCTATTCTAGTACTTTAACATTTTTGTTCTCTAGCACCTGTGCAAGAGAGGGACTTGATAAAATCCACTAATAATTTTCTTTTTCTGGAAATTATAAGTCTGTGCCATGAGCCAACAGCCCTTTGCCTCAGTATCAATGAAGCCCTTTAATATCAGTCATTGTGTTTGAAAGCACTGAAGTCTTTTAACACATATGTCAAACACATTTCTTTAGTGTTGGGACAATTCTGTGAAGCCAAACAAGGTTTTAAAAACATAGGTTATAAGTTTCTCTAACAGTTTGTAAATAAAAGCACTGTGAAGTCAGCTGCTTAGGAGAAATACGAACCCAGGCTGGCCTCTCATCCGTCCCCTGGTAGTTTGCAGTAGAATGAGTCATCTGTGCATTTTCTAGATTCTTCACCATGCGAGCAATGAGTTCCCCAATGTCGCTCCTAGGAGCTGATCCATAGGAAAAGCCCAGGTTATCCTGGCACAGAGAATGGGAGAAAAGTATCATGCAGTATGATGAGGCAGGGAGAGAGAAGAGAAAGGGTAGAAGAAAGATGAGTTGTAAAAGATAGCCTAGATTACTTCTCTTCTCTCTTATAGTGTCCGTAGTTATCTAGAGTGGTCAATAGCAGCATTTGTTCTCCCACCTTCACTGCAACATCACATTCCATAAAGTATTAATTTTTTAACTTTTAAATTTACCACAATAAATCAAGACAATCTGAGGCCACGTTGGCAATAAAAGGTTAATTTCCTAAGTATTTGCACACTTAGCATCTTTAACATGAGGATTTATGTCTTAACAGAGTTGCAGCACTCCCATACTGATCTCATTTCCCTCGGTGAGGGTACTGAGGGGGCAAGGGGTGCTGGTTTTGCTGGTACCCCTTCTCTCCACTTCCATGTTCTGCTTCTGTTTATTTCCCTTTTGGCACTCACTATTTGCTAATGGTCTTTAATGGGGATTACTCCATCTCCTAGAAAAGGATGTTTTCTATGTGGCCTAAACCAAGCAGTTCCAAAGGTGGCATATATTTGGTTATGAATGGAGAGGTCCCTCTCCTCTGCCATTTCCTATGGCTTATCTGCAAAATTCATATGGACTCACATCAATGGAGCTGGCCATGAGGGATCCTCTGTCAATGGCATGTTTCATGATTTTATAGATATCTTTAGGGGCATCCTTTATCTCGTAGAACTCAGTGACTCCTCCAGTGAAGTCCTCCATGGCTTCAGTGGTGTTGCCTCCCTTCAAAGCTTCATATGACCCGTGGAGTCTTAGAAAGAGAAAAGAAAAAGATTTTCTTTTACACAGATAGAGATACCTCCCTATATATTTATATCTATCTTGTGTGTGTATAACTACAGCTATGTAAACACACATCATATAAAAACCCCCAAACCATCTGCTTGGAAACTCACAAGTTAAAAGTTTTAAAACATGCCACCTGCACAGATAGGTTAAAAAAAAGGTATGCTGAAAATCAAATGTAGATTTTTGAATGAGTAGCAAAACTTCCTAGAAATTATGCTTTAGCCCATCCCCAATTCTGAGGCATGAGAAGCTATGGGAAAAGGCATTGGTACGTTCAGAGCCCCTCTGTGTGCTTGTTGTCAATATTGTGTGCAGTGGTTTAACCACCTCCCCAGCCCAAGCCTTGAGGGGGAGCCCGTCACAGTCCCGCATTTTGTTTTACTTTGCATAGGCCTTTTCCAGGAGGGCACTCCAGAATTCGTTGCGCTGGGAGGATTTGGTAAAGACCAGCTGGTTGTTGTACGTGGGTAAGCAGTCATCAATGACAACGTCCACCCAGTCTCCATAGCGCCAGAACTGAATAAAGGCAAACAGAAAAACACTCTGGATTGACTTGGTGCAGGAAGGGGGAGACTGGCTGAAAAGTCAGGCTGAGAGAAGGGAAAAGTGGAGCTCAACTGCTTTGTAATGTGGCCAAAACTAATGGGAGGGAGGCAGCTGTACTGAATTCCTCTGGACAATGTGTACAGGACAGTGAGAGGTCCCTTAAAAGAATCAAGGGAAATGTGGAAAGCAGTCAACCTTTTCTGAATAAGAAGTTCTTTGATAACTTGTTTTGACAGACCAGCTGTTTGTAGGCCTAAAAATAGATGCTTTTGCCAACTACCCATGTGTCTTTGCTGGCTCTAGTGCTGCATCTGAGCAGTGAGGCAAGACTGGACACCTGTTCCTATTCCTTATGCACAGAACACAGCAATCTGGAAATGCTTCCTTGGTGGGTTAATGCTCCCTAATTACTTGTATGGGCTGGCCCTTCTGTGACTGCCCTAATGGAAGTATTTGGCATGAGGCAATTCAATCCCTTTTCCTCCCTGCTATCACTCATGCTTCCAAAGAGAGGAGAAGCTAGAGGAAAGAGCATGCCAAGAGGAGCTAAGCTCTGTTTTGGGTAAATACATCTGCTTACCACTAGGCAGAGGGACTCACCTGGAAGTGAAAGATGCCAGCATAGTTTTGTATACAGTGTCAGGCAAGCAATGGCAGCCAGAAACCAGCAGTTACCTGTAAATGAGCAGAAGCAGCAGACAAAATGAAGGGACAGAGCAACTAGAATCAAAGGGAAAAACTGAGATACTGCAAAATGACTTGTTAATCCTCAGTAGAGCATGATTCTCCATGTGTTCTGCAGCACTTTACTTATTTGCGCTCTAGAAATGCTCATGGGCATTGTTCATGGCTGGGTACACACATGTTACACAGATGATGTTCCCTGCAATTTAGAAAAAGCCTAAAATCTGATGAGCACTGTTACCCGTGTTAAGATTTCCCTGTCTCATGTGGATGTCTGTCTGACTTCCTGCATTAATTTTTCCTTTCAAGCTTAGGACAGAGACCAGCTGAGAGACAAATCTCTTGCAGGTAGAGCTCCCTACCACTGAGATTCAGACTCTCATTTTCTGCTCTAAAGATGATTGTCCCAGTCATCATTCTATGGGGGCTTTTTCCTGCTATTTTCTTCTATTTGAAGTGTCTGCACTGTTGTAAACACTGTTCCCTTTAACGCTTTTCAGTTCCCCCTTCAGAATCTTGTACAGTTGGTTGCCTCTGTGGGAGCTCTGGTAAAGTGGTTTTCTCCCATAGTACTTCTGTGTTCAGCAGAGGGGGACTCTACCCTAAACTAAAACCTAGCTGCTATTGTAAGAGAGGCTCTAGGGTAAGCTTGCCTGGGTAGTGTGCAATAGAGGAGTGAGATAGTGAAAACTTAACCTGATTGCAGGGAGTTGTAAAAGAAATTTATGAATCTGGTAGAGTGATAAGACATACAGAAATAAAAAAGGTGCATATATTTTGGAAAGCCAACTCTATACATATAGCAGTACTATATGGTAACTCTTCTAAGTTACCTATTTCCCCTTATAAAGGATGGGGGTCCACTTTGACCAGGAGTTTTCTAAACTATCCAATATTCTGCAGATGTCAAAAAAGTAAACAATGCTATGAGTAGTTAGGGAAGGAATGGAAAAAAAGAGAACATATTATGCATGTAAGTTCATTTGCATCCACACCTTGGTATCTGTGAAGTTCTGGTCACCTCAAAAAGAAAGGCAGTTTTAATTAAATTTAAAAAAGAAAAAGTACTAGGAAGGTGATGAGGACACATTTGGGTGTGTTAGCTTAGGAAAAAGATCACAGGAGGAGTTATAAAACGATGAAAGACATGAGAAAGCTGAGTGGGGAAGGACTTTACAAAGCAGTGCAGGTGAGCACTGCATGGATGACTTCTGTAGAGGCATCACTTGTACTTAAGTAGTGCCTCTGTATAACAAAGTATCTTTGAGCACCTGAGCTTAAAGTATTCAATATAGTGGTTGTTCTTGAGTACAATGCACATTTAGCTAACGGCCTTTAGAAACTCTTATACAAAAATGACAGGACTAAATACCTGAAAAGATACAACAGTAACTGATTAGATTTTTCTCTCAGTCAAATAACTCCTCTTTATGTTTTATTCTTGTCTTAACTGGTTTTGTCCCTCCTCAAAGTCCAAAAGAAAGGCCAAATAGTGTTTTGAAACACACTCATGACATTAGTTAATGAAAAGCAAAATACCCTGCAAAGCATCTTTCACTGAAAGTTCTTGCCTAGATTGCTACTAAGCAGATATCAATGATTTTCTATAGAGAGAAGGAATCCGTAGATGTGTAGTGGTACACTGAGACAGGGGATTTCAAATATCATTGTGGAAGAAAAAGAAAATTTACTGAGAGCTAAACCATGTTGCAGACTTCTAGAAGTACAGAGCTGATGTAAGAATTTCATACCTAATTCTCCTTGGCAGATATCTGTTCTGTTGGCTCCACCAATAATAAACCGTGGATTCTCACAGATTTCCTGCAAAATAGAAACAGATGGATGAGCAGGAAAAGCAGGCATTATGATGCCTCTTTAGCACAGAAATAAAGGCAGTTTTAGAACATTTTCCTGTAGGATAGCTTGTGGATATCAAAACCTCTCACACAGTTTTCATCTGCAGAGTTTCACTATGAAAATGTTTTGGAATCTGGATGTTCCAGGCTTCAGTTAGAGTTTTCTTCACGTACCTACAGGGTCTATTAACTACCCTGGGAGGCTCCCTCTGTACAGGGTGCAAACACATTAAAATTAGAATAGGGCAAAATATTTTTTCTTCACAGTAATGAAAAAAACTAAAACACTGGAGGAGACAGGAGAGCGGGTAGCTGAAAAAAATATCAGGGGACTAGAATAAATACTTTTAAAATGACTGCAGGTTTATGGTGTCCAATTTGCAGTAACTAATATGCTGGGGCATTAAAAGGGTTGAAAAATGCATTTTGTCAGGAATGAACCCCTGTAGTACTCCTCCTTAAAATTTTCCCAGGATCAGATGTAATTACCAGAAATAACTAGTTGCTAGTTAAGAGATTTTATTCTTTTTCTTATGTTGAAGTATTTAATTGACAATGCTGCATTAAAAAAAGGCCAAAGATATCATCTGTCTCTGAGGACAGGTAAGTCTTTTTTTTGTCCTGCACATAGCAAAACATATTGGATTTGTCAGTATTTATACTAGGACAGAATAGGTACAAGATGCTGTACAGGCATAAATAATTATGAAATTTCTGTAGGGAGGGAAGGACTATGTAGGAACTATGAGCAAATGAGGTGGGACTATTGCAAGGTTACAAAGCCCTTTTCTATATAGGACAAAGAACTGTGGAGTATAGGAAAACCAAGGGAAACCCATCCTACAGAGAAAAAAAAGCCCCTGCTTTATCCCATCTCTCATTCTTATACCTGGTATGGGGAAGAATAACTTTTGGCCCCATCTCTTATGAGGGTAAGGAAAGAAAGATATTGCAAGCTGAGGACCACTGCCCTGAGCAGCTGCAAATGGGGAAGAAGGCAAAGTATAGTACAAGAACTGAATCTGCTGAAAGACGTTGGGACTAGAGTGAGAAGGAGAAAGAAGAAACAACTGACAATTGCTTGTGTGGCAGCACAGGCAGCTGATGCTACTTCTGCAGTCTAAAGCTTTTTACTCGTGTCATCAGGGTAGCCCCGGCTTTTCCCAGACTCGTGTTTCAGGTTTAGTAATTTCCCTTGGCTTAAGCCCACTTTTTTTCTCCTTCACAGTAATCAGCTTTGATGTAAATATTTGGATTAGTCATATAGCCAGATAGAGAGACCAACTTCCACGTCACTTTATTCTCCTCAAGAGAGAGAATGTAGGGATTGTCCCGTTATTTTGGGCCTTGGTCAGCTGTCCTGGGCTCCAGTTCTGTCAAGGCAGCTGTTTGAGATGCCTTCATGCTTTTCTGCACCCACTTGCTTTGTTGAAAATATTCTTCCTCACATTGCTGTGGTGCTCTGCTGAAAACCATCTGTGAGATGCCAGGTTTTTGGTTTGTATTTTTTCCAACTCTATTGTATTTTGGCTTGATCCTGCTCCTTTTGTTCTGAAATACAGTATGCTGTGTTTTAGTTGAAAGTAGTTAGATGGTGCCTATGTGTTTCCAAATATTAAATGTACGGTGACGATTGTTACTCAGGGCCATTTGTTGCATCTTGGGGTCATTTGTTTTGTAGGGTGGTTGGTAAAGGAATGCAAAGGAGGGAATCAGGCATCTGTCATTTGGACTGGTTTAGTTACGATAGAAATGCTTTTGTTTAATTTCTTTATGGCGGCCAGGTGTGTTTAGTACACTGTGAGTATGATTTTAATATTGTATTTCTCTAGTTGATGTCCAGCTGTGCTAGTTGTGCTGAGTATAGTTGAAGCTGCAGAGAAAGGTTCCAAGGTCTTTCAGGGCTGAAGTACTCAGTCAGCAAAGCAAGACAAACTGGTGTCTAAGACGCAGGTGGCAGGTCTGTCCTTCCAGTCTTCCTGGCTGAGCAAGGGATTGCTCTTCATCATTTAGGTCAAGGTATCACAAAGAATCCCAACAGGCTGCACTTCATTGACGCAATGATTCATTTAAAAGAGTCCCCTCTGATCTGAGTGCCTCAGACTGCCTTAGTATTATCCAAAGGACCTTTGCGTTGCACTGGGTTGATTCAGTTCAGACTGAAATTTCATTACAAAGAGTCAAAGTTACAGCAAGGAAAACAAAGAATCTCAGGAAAAACCAATTAGTGGTGCATGCTGCTTTCTGGGCAGTTGGAAGGGAGCACTGGAAAATGCAAAGGCAGCATGCAACTAAAAATGGCATTTGACCTTTGTTATATTTTCATTAGATTTTCTTCTGTGTCAGAAAAAAATCTGCCAGGCATACTGTTGCAGCAAAAGGCATTCATTCCTTCAAAATATGCTGTTAATAAACTCCAGCATTTTAAGTAAATTCCCTGAACTGATCCTACCAAATAGAGGAAGCCTGCCTAAGACAATTTGTATTCTCATTCTTCTTCCTTGATCTCTTGTTGTTCTATACCATGCTATTAAAGGGCTGTGCTACACAGTTCAAGGCAGAACTCAATGTTGTCAGACACCAAGCTGGTTTTAGAGCTTCTGAGTCAGATTACTCTTCTCTGAAAGTCCTGCCTTGGTGGCGCTAAATGCCATCTTTGCTTGTAGTGCTACCTGCACAGGCCTCATTTTGTGATTAATAAATGCAAACAGCTTCACATGTGTGCAGTGAATCAGTCAGCAAATTTGACTGATTAATTTTCATTCTAAGCAAAATCCAGTAGTTTGTTGACTTAATTTTATTTGTATTCATTATGAAAAGAAAGCTCCTCCTGGTGATTTTCTTGGCTGCAGAGAGGATCACCATTAGGAAGTCATTGAATGTGGCGGTTAATGCTGTGACCCAGCTGTGAGCAATGAGAATGACAGTGCATTTGAAAGCACAGTGTCATGGCAGAGCCTTCCTATCAACACCTAGTGTCATTAGATCCAAACAGGACTGCAGCATGCCTTCTCAATACTCTGCATTATGTTATAATACTGACTTTTTCTCAGCTCTCAAAGATCGGTAACTTCCTCCCTGCTCTCAGCTGTGAGAAATTCCCACAGGCAGCATAGTTGTGGGAGGCTGAGGCCCTTAAGAAAACTGAGCACAGCCCGTCACTGAGCTGGATATAACCTGGTGCAGGTGAGAATGGTTCTATTTCCCCTCTGTGTACCTAAACCATGCGCAGGCATACTCTGAGCAGAAATACTGCAGAGATGGATCTTCCAGTCTTTACTCAGGGAAACTTTCAAGGTTGTCACTTGGCTTTTGCCTGGATTGAGTATTAGGAGGTCTTCTCTGTGCATTCATGTCGTGGCATGGCAGTCACTAGCTGTGTAGAATTACAGAGGCCTTCTCACCACCCTCATGCCAAGGCTCACAGCTGCTCTGCATGGCAGCTGCCCTTCTGCCAGTGACAGACAAGACCAGCCCTCATGCTCTTGTTGCCCTTGCAGCAGCAGAGGCCAATCGTTTTGGGAGGTGGGAGAGAAACACCTGACCTCTGGGTAGCACTGACTGCAAAGAGAACAGTCTGTAAGGCCAGATGCATGAGAGCAAGGAGTAGCTCTGGGGCTGGGATGCTGGACACCTCTCACCACTCTACTAATTGCAGAAGCACTGAGGAAAAGGTCAAGTCACAGCACAGACATTGCCAGGGAAAGCAGAGAGGGCCCAGGTCCCCACAGCCCACGAGTGGGAGAGGGAGTTGCTTACATCGGGCTCAGTGGGCATCTCAGCTCATTTTTATTCAACTATTGACCCAAATTTCAAAGTTATTGAAATTACCACTTTATAAGCTAGTTTCTTCCTTTGCAAAAAAAAAAAAAAAAAAAAGCCATTACAATTTAGTAAGAATAGAAGTTGTCCATATCTTTACAGACTATTACAAAACATGGCCTGTGCAGTTGAGACTTTACATGTGGTGCTTCACTGATTGCTTTCATCTCCTAGGAAAATACTCTTTAGCCTGCTATTACTACTTTATATTCATTTGACTTTATGAAGTTCTGTGAACATGTCTATTGTGGCTATTTGTGTGTACATATTATAAGACAAGTCCTCCTACCAAGTGCTATGTAACCTACAGTTTCAAAGCCTGGGGTCAGTCAGAGATCAGCACCAATAGATACAGGTCTTTTGCATCAGTGCCCAGGAGCAGTCTCACTTTGTGTTTGTGGTATGAATGACAAGATGGGGACATATTATAAAAGGAGAAAACGTTACAGATGAGTGAGTCTCTCTTCTTTGGGCACCTGCTGGGTACAGCAGTGACATGAATTATAGAGTTTGTTTTAAAACAACCACACTTGCTACAGAAGGCATAGGCATCTCTACAAATCAGGCCTGGTGTGTCCCCGGCAGGGACAGCTGTCTCTGTCAGGGTCAGGACTGACTGGAGGTATAATCTCACAGCATGACAGTACTCAAGAGACGCAGACTACAGCTTTCTGGATTTCCTGCCTCTGCTCTACTTGCAGCTGGCACCACAGATATGTCAGGTGCCCGAACACTTGTGTCAAAAGAACATCGATAGCTTTGGTTTTGATGTTTAGGTTGTGTTTTAAGTCTTAAACAGTCCCCAGCTTGTTTCTTCTTCATGAATAATAAGTACAGAGCTTCCAAGCTTACTTGCTGATGAGTGACTTAAAGAAATGTCTTTGGGATAAAGACCCCCATGTCTGAACCTTCCCAGTGACAAAGGCTTGATCTATGCATGCACAGTTAATATTAGACAAGTCTGAAGTTACATTGTGCATTTTTTTTTGTTTTGTTTTGATGCTTTCTGATATGCATACTTGCAGTCTGTCTGTTCTAGGGTGCTGGCAGTCATGCACTGTACTGTTGTATCACTTCCCTCTCTAGAAATAGGGAAAATCACATCCCTTTAAGATGAGTGACTTGTGGCTGCATTTAACTCATTCACACACATTTCCAGGAGCTGATGCAGCCATTGTGATGATAAAGAAACAACAGGCACACATGCACAGGGCATAGCAGATGGGGGACTCATTTTGATCCCCGCATATTGCTCACGCTGTTGTTGTGATGGCAGCATGCAGCCTTCCTCCACAGCTGTAACAACCACCCACAAGTGTTCCTGGTCTTTTGCTATTTAGTTACAGTTCTAATCAGTTTTATCTATTACCACTGACTTTGCCATTGAGGCACAGATTTGGGTGTAGGGGAAGAATGGCAAATCCAGAAGAGGTGGCCAAAAACTGCCAGGGAGAGGGAACTGTGGAAGCTCCTCAGGACCCTCGCTATCAGACAGGAGCTGGCAGGGGCCAAGGCAGTGTCCCAGGGGCTGCCTGGCTGGAGGGAGGCAGCTGCCCAGCAGATATGACAGGAAGAGAGCATAACTCCTCCTGTGGTAGGACAAGGAATCAACTGGGAATTGAAGAATTAGTCCTCTGTCTGTGAGAGAGACAGGAAAAAAAAAAAAAAAAGAAGAAAAAGAAAAGGAAGGCTGCCTGGGGAATACCCACGGGATAGGAAAAATGAATGGAATTAGTAGCCAAAAGTGAGTCTTCATAGTGATTAGAACACCCACATTCATGTTAAGTGGGTAAAATGCTAACCAACAAGACAAGTTGGATAAGCAATGCTGGGAACAACTAAATAAAAGCATGGTTTAGATCATAACTTGTCCTTTCACACATTAGGAAAACAGCAGAATGCTAAAATAAAGTTGTAAGTGAAACAAGGTAGTATTAAAAAAAATTAAGCCTCAGTAAACCCAGTAACTTCTTGCAGAATGAGGAGAGTGTTTCTTTGGAAGCCACATGAGAAAATCCCAGGCAAACCATGCAAGAAGAAAATTAAATTCCCTATGTCTCTTTCTACCTATTTCATTCCATCTCTTTTTTTTGTTGTTTCATTCTGGTTTATTGTATTTTAATCATTATATTCACATTCTTTGAGCTTTCACAGCCCTAGCTAGTTATCTTCCAGGAAAGCTCTAAGGAAGTATATCTCCAGTTTATTCTGCCTGCCTTCCCCAACACACATTTTTGAGCTTGCAAAAATGTAAGCTCAGGGTGGTTACTTCAATGTATAGAAAAAGGCACTCAGCAAACATGTTACTTACATGTGGTCTTTTCCATTCGAACTTGACAGGGCTTTTCTGGCTATAGAAGAGGGAGGACTCATTTGGTGGGAAATCAGGATCTTCATAGAGAATGTTCTTCTCCAGGCACTTCTTGTGAAGCTCTTCATAGGTCTTCTCCTTTACGCTGATAATGGGCTGGTTGCGACTTATAATGGCAGAATAAATCCCCCCTGTGCCCCCACCTGCCCCTTCAGTTGTAGTGCTAATAGTAGGGCTGGGAAGTGACCCAGCAGCCGTTTGCTGAGCCACCGCTGCATTTATGGCGGACGGCATGGGAATCAGGCATAAAGCAAATGTCGAAAGAAAGCAGGATCTTGCAAACTGGAAGGAAATTTCAGAAAAAAGGAAGTTGCTATGTAAACCGTCTTTTCAATCTGTTGAAAGTCTTCTAGTCAAATTTGCAAGCCAGAAAATTCCATGTGGCTTTCCATCCTTTTAATGGATAGTAGTATATCATAAGAAATTGGGATTTATTCCTTGATGTGGGACAAGATGATCTGTTGGCTAAGTCCTGTGTCTGACTTGTAGTATCTATAGCATGCCTGTGTGCCTGCCCTGTGCGTGTAAGTGTCCAGAAGGGACAAGCTTTAACCCGTGAAATCTAAAAATAACTACAGGCGAAGAGAGAGGGAAAATGAGAGGGAGGGGGTTAGTGAGATGGTGTCAAACTTCTGTGCAGCTTGTGCTGAGGCCAAGCAAGTTCCTGGGACAGGTTTTGTGTGTAGGACGAATCCTGGTGGAAGCAGTTCATATTTTTCTTAACTAGATAACAGTGAAACTGGAAGCTACACACCTGCTGGCTTTGGAACGTTATTTATGAGGTACTGCCAGGCAATAATCTCGTCCTGCCACTCGTAAAGGAATTGTTGTACTCTACTTGTTTCTACCCTTTGCTGTGGAAAAGATATAGAAACATATTTATTACTAGAGAGGATTATCTAAAGACACACTCCTAATGGTGAAAAAGGTGGTAATTTGATGCTACTGAGGTCAGGTCAATACCTGCCCAGTGGGTTTAGTTTCTCTAGAAAGCAGCTTGGCAGCACTAAAACTCACCTGACAGTAGCTACCTCCCATATAAAAGGCATCCTTTTGTGTAAGGGCAGAAAAGTTTATAAGGGGCCCTAGTGTGGAAACTGGGCTGTTCTCTGTGTGTTACGATATACCAAAGTTACAGGAGCCATCTGACTCTGCAATGCAAGTAGTATGATGCAAGGGCCTTTCACTGCACAGCTTCAGCAAAGATGCTCATTTTGCAGCCTGTGCATATGTTCTTTCTTTCATATTCTCCCTTTCTGACCAATATAACAGTACATCTGTTTATTCTCATATACAGAGCTCTGTTTCCAGAAGAATTGTCAGTGGGAGAGATCTGACATTTGAAAAACTCCTTGTGGGCTGCTGGGGAGGATAAAGTGAATGATTAGCAGTGGGGTTTGTTTGGTTTTTTTCTGTTGGGATGGTCAGCAAGTGTCAGGGTATGACCTGCTGCTACTGCTATAGCTAACAGTTCGGACAGTGACTGCATGTGGAATGGCAGGTGGACATGCACTTCTCAATTCTAAGCCTATGTTGCTCTTTAGGTATGTTCAGGAGTTACACCTGTTCAAAATACAATTTCTCCTTTTCTTATTTGTTACTGGACAGGTGGTTTTGTTATGGAGTCCTTTTTTTTGTAAGAAACAGTAGTTTCTTACAGAGCAAAAATGAACTAATCTTTAGTAAACTAATCTACGATGTTAATATTGCTAGTTAATTTTAATGAAGTTTTCTCTCCAGTTGTTTTCACTAATTTATTTCAATTATTTCTTTTGTAAAGATATACTAAAAATTTATTTCTTCAATTATGGCATAAATACGTGGATAAGTACGTGAGTTACTACAAATAGCAATATAAATCATATTCTTTGACATTTATTTCCTCAGATCTAAAGACATGACTGCTATGATTTTGAGCAACTCATTCCTAATCAAATCCATAGAAGTTATGCACTTCATACCACTGAAAATTTGACCCATGACTACTTACCATGGTGCAGATATCATACTGAGGGCCAGAGTATAAAAGCTAGTCATTTTAGCATTCACTTTAACCAGATACCCCTGGAAGAATACTCGGTAGTGATTCTCAACAGCAGAAAGAGAGTTGGAAGGAATAAGGATTGTAACTCGCTTCGTTTTTACTTTATTTCACTTTCCAACTTGAGAAAGAGCAGTTAAAATATTTCATTAAAATGCACCAGACAATAATTATATCCTGTCAGAAGCACTGCTATGCTTAAACATATTCAGAAATCATCAATTAAAGCTTAGAAGCTGATAGAAAAATAGTGTCTGTCTCTTTTCACAGACACAAAAGATGTTTTTGCTACTGTTCTACCTGGATTAACTCAGCTGCATTAAGCACAACAGTATTTATGTTGCCAGTTCCTGGAGTGGAGGCTCACATGGTCTCCTAGGAGGTGCTGACAAACAGCTCTGCAGAATGAAAAAGAAAGACCTTAAGGGTCCGGTGGGGAGCAAGCTGCACTTGAGTCGTCAAGAGCAGAACACTCAGTTTGCTCTCACATTTGCTATTCCCAGAAATCTGTCCTGCAGAGGACAAACAGCAGCAGGTGCGAATGACTGACTAAGCACAGGGAATTTAGTAATGTTATGTTGGCAAAAATCATGACTATCCCTTTCTGTTTCCTATGAGTTAATTTACCAATGTTTTTAGAAAATAGCCCTTTATCTTACTGAAAGAAATTAAGTAAACTATGTCCTTTTATATTCAGAAACCCAACTGATGGCATGTTCAGTTTTGACTCAAAGCAGACTGGTTTTAAAATAACGTAGTTTACAAATGTAGCAAATGGAAAGGGCAAACAAACTGTAGAGCAATGGCAGCCTGTGAAAAGGGATGCCTAGTATGGAAAGGCCTGAGGGAACGGGCAGGATGTAGTGGATGTAGAACTCAGGATGTCTCCTAGTTTTGCAAGGGAAGCAAGCATCAGGACAAACCAGTTCTGTTTGCAGAGATGGTGTGAAAAGGAAGCAAGGGAACATTAGGCTGGCATTGTAACAGAATGGGAGAAAAGCATGAAGTGGGATGGCTAAATGTAGAATTAATTCCATTATTATTAAACTGCTCCATAAATGCCAAGCTCAAATCTCAGCCAGATACTAAAAACTGATCAAGACAGTACTAAAACATGTGTAATGGAAGTTAAACCTTGGCAGGAGCTGGAAGATGTGGAGGAGTATAGCTGCTTCCCTGGGCTGGTTTTGATCAATGACACTCAATCATCAATGCCAATTCTTTCCTAATAAAAGACTTTTTTTTTTTAAGTAGTACTTGCAGATAGAGGGGAGCAATAACATATAAAATGTTTCCGTGTGAGTATAGCTGCTATCCTAAGCCAGTACTGCAGTTAATGTGGACCTGTGCATTTTCGAAATCCAAGTTTCAAAGCCAGCTGTGGGACAGCCTTCTGCACTGCCATGTCACTGTCTTCTACTATTGCACAACTGACTGGCACAACCTACTCAAACCTTACCTCCAGTGACTGAACTGTTCAGCGAGCCTGTTGTTCACTTTCCAGTACAGACCAGCTCATTTTGTGTTGTCATAAGGACTGGAAAAGGGAAGTGTCTGTAATCACACAGAGTGGCTCCTTCTGTGTTTGTTTTCACAAGGCAGCTTGCAGGCAGAACTCTGGTGATAACCTCTGCATCTGGCATATCTACTGATGCCGCTTGTCAAACTGGCCCAGATCTCTTCTCAAGTGCTCCAGTCTCTGAATAATAGGATTTCCAAATACTTACATTAAGCCCTGTGCCAATGAGCCCCAATTTCACCCCCTCAATTCATTTTTTAGTGCAAGTGAAGGCAGAACTGAAGCTTACTGCCTAACTAAGGCTAGCCTGGAGCAAATGGTATTTAGCTTATTTCCCCAAAGATACAATCCTAGTGATATTGCTTTTGCTGAATAGAAGAGCTATCCAAGTTTAAATTAGTGCTTTAAAAGAAAAATTGTAGGAAATGTTAGTTTGGGGAGTGTCAGTGGAAAAAATATTTGTTGACTTGATTGGATTCAAGTGAATGTTTTAAGTTCTCCCAGTTTATTTCTCCTCAACCACTCAATGAATTGCTTCTCTGAAGAACTTGTGTCTCAGTTGATACAAATCTCCCAGTCAGCATCAACACTCAGGGCTAAGTTTCCCAGTGTCAGCGCAGAGGTCTTCGTATCATATGTGAAAACCACTTCCTTTTCTTTCCCACCTGAACAGGACAAGAGAGTTTACTATTTGATTTATGAAGAACTCTTCTGAAACACAGTTACATATGACTCTCTCCAGTTTTTAATTCTGACTGACCCTGCCACTGGTGGAAAGAATCGATTAAAACAGAAATGGAAGACAAATCTGCCCAGAATACACATAAGAATGCAGCAGAACTGGAAAATAATTATTTCTCTTTTTCTGATCTTTCAAACTATGGTATGTCAAACTGTGGTACTATTAAAGGATTTTTCAGAAAAAAATAACCCTTGTTTCTGCATAGGTTTCCCTCCAGACACCCCTGACAGGTAGAGGCAGAAAGTCCATTTCTCCATGACTCCCAAAGTGAAGGGACATGCCTCAAAATCAAACAGAAATTAGAAGCTCTTTCTTGTAGATGCCACTGCCTATCCATGAGATCCCTCACAACTTCTACAGAGCCCCACATAAGTAAGAACTCCAGGGCTTTTGAATAAGCAAGAAATCTGGTTTTGTCTGCAAGTTTCCTGTTCTAGACTAGGCAGGTTTACAGATCTGAGCAAATGGGCCTTCATTTGAAATGCTATCTCTGGTCGTGTTCCGTGCAGGGCAACATTGTCTGAACTTGTTAATTCCAAACCACTTTTACTGATATATCTATTGCCTTACAAAGCCAGTGTGCTTCAGTTCTGCATGTAATAATAGCTGCTGGCTCCTTTCACTAAATTCTGTCCTTGATACCAAAAAAGTAGCAAAGAAAACTAAACAAAGAGGCTTTGTATGCTGTAACACTTCCATTATAGAGCTGCCAGTTTGACATCTCTAGTGAATGGCCGCAGAGCAACAGGATTTCAAAGAACTGTAGTAAAATAGAAGTCAGTTCATTACCCTTGGAACTGGCTGTCACAAAAGTGGGTTGCTTTCCAAATCCCAGAACTATCACCCGCTCAACCACACATGAGGTTTGGTATTGTCCACTTTCATCAGCGCAGCTGAAAAAAGAAAATTATTTTATATACATTAGTTTTTGGCCAACAGTAGAGGTTCAGTATCATACAGAGAAAGTACTACTTTGGTCTCATCCTGAAAGTTCCCTATACTGGTTTCCTTTCCTCTATTTACCTTTCTCCTAAAAACAAGTAAAACTTCCTCCCACTGTCACCTAATTTTTCACCACATATCAGATTTAACAAATATAGAAGAAAAAGTTTGAGAAAGTATTTTATGGTAAAAAGTATGGCTTTGACTACTAGGAAAGTTCTGGATTTTCACAAAACAGTACTTAAAACTCCTAGGAAAAAATGTAAAGCTAATTTTTAACACTTTTTCA